CATATATAATAGAGGCGATACAAGAATTACATGTAATATTGATTTGAAAACAGACAGACATGTTGTATGATGATATATTCCTCTTTAATTTAGTTTTCCTAGTTCTTTATTACATTTATTTTATTAATTTATTTTCCATTTTATTTAATTTATCTCTATCTTATATCTTTTTTTTATTTAGTTATATATTGTATTTATTTATTTATTATTATTTTAATTTTATTTATTCATATATATATATATATATATATTATTTACTAGCACGGGCGCTGAATGTTTTGGGACAAGACATTTAGAGCGATTATATCTACATTTTAAAATGTTATTACTAAGCGAGCCATAAACCAAGACCTCAGACCAGGCTGTAGGCAGGCCCCTACTATATTATTACATGCATTTAGAGAGTTCAGGGTACCTGTAAAAACTACAAATATTGCGCATTAGTCACATGATAGAAATCAGCAGCCTATATTAAAAGTAAATAGCAACATAATGCATTCCATTATAGTGATGACAGATAATGTTTACTGCATAATTATAACAAGGCATGCTTGTATGCCTTGATGAGTTGAGCGTGATTTTCAACGACTGGGTCTATATAATTACCACTTAAGCGTCTCAAATTAACTCCATGTTGATATTAATACTAATATTACTAATGCTGGTTTGCACATTCAAAAGCCACAGTTGTATATCCCAATATGACAGAAAGTATCTGGAGAATTAGGTCTGTGCGCCTGACCGCGCCCTATCCGGAGGCCCGAGAGCGACGGTTTTTTGTGTCTAAGCCCCGTTCGGTGCATAGACACTATGTTGTAGTGTGGCAGTTTATGACTGAAAGGGTAAATCCGGTGGAGGTGCATGATGGGCCATGTGTCATCTTATAAGTACCTTATTACTGCATAAAAGTCAGTGAAAAAAACAAAAAACAACACCACACATTTTCTGATAACCGAATCCCATGTGGATACTTTATTATCATCATCATCATCATCATCTTTGTCTTGCGACGCTCTCCAACTTCGAGCCATTTGCTTCTGTTATGGGCAGGATGATTTTGTGTTTTTTTTCTTAATGCGTGTTCGATTTTAGTTTTCCATGTTCATTTTGGTCTTCCTTTTTGTCGCCTTATTCTTCTGTGTAGGCCTACTTCTTTTATCCCGATATTTGAGGGTGCGTCATTGGGTAGTCTTATCAAGTGTCCATACCATTTTAATTGTGTAACTACAGTTATTCTGTTTAGTGATTTGATATAAATCGGTGTTACTGACTTTGTCTGACCAAGTGATATTTAACATTGTTCTTTTCATTTTTCTTTTGAATGCATCAATATTTTGTTCAAGTGCCTTTGTGAGTGTCCATAGTTCGCTATTGTAAAGAATAATGCTGTCTGAAGGGCTACTATGCTTGAAACAATTATAACATTATATTTCTTATTTGAGCATGTCGTAGACATATTAAAAACAATAGTGTATTCAAAACATAAATATTGATGGATTTTAAATAAATTTGATGATCTCATTGTTTTGTTTTTGTTTTTTGTTTCTTTTTTTTAAATATTTGCATACAATATTGTGGGAAGCGATAATAATTAAAAGCTGATTCTCTACAACATAGCCACGTTTGGCAGTATACTCCCCTGGATATCTGTATGTTGTCATCCATCAGTATGAATAAGATAAATATGCATTACGATAGGCTGTTATGTACATTTTATTAAGCACAATAATAAATTATACTGTCTGGCTCAGTTCCCACGAAACATATTGATATCAGAATTTTGACCTTCAGGCTACAACTATGCACGGCCTTAGATTATAGATACTCACTGAATAAAGTGAAAGTCCTTGATTGTACCATCTGCTCTTTGTTTCTCAATGCAGCGTTGTTATTTATGCAGTGTTAGTGCTGTGAAAATTATAACAAATATTGAAGGGGTTTCACTGCCTCTTCGATGAGAGGGGGTGGGACCATGTTTATGCAAAAAGTGATGGAAACATGTCTTTAATAATAAACTGGATCCTAAGATCAATTGTAAATTGATAAAAAATAAAATAAAGTAATACCTCAAGACAGAGGCCTTATACTACTATTTTACTGTGCAAATTTGTTAGACTTCATATAATACAATGATCTAGCAATTTCCGCATTCTGGCCATAAAATAATCTCATTGTAATCTAATCGTATAACGTTCACTTAACAGGTTTGTACAACAATTAATATCTCCAAAAGGTGAACATGCTACTGCACAAACACGAGTGTTGAATTGCTTGCTAATCGAATGTCTTAATATTTATGAATTGCATAATATCCGGTACTTCAAAATGCAGTGGGCCAAGGGAGAAACTTCTACAGGTAGAGGGTCTAGGCCTCATCAAGTTTACGGCTTATGACACCTGATTGCCAGAAATGGCACTCTCAGATTAATTTTCTTTTTGACCCCATTTGAAAAAAATGGGGCGATTTTAAGATGTGAAGGCCCGACCGTCTGGGCCCTCCTAAAATCCACACCTGTACATACATATTCACATTTAGTTCTATTTTGGTCGGTATTAAGACCATTAATTGTGTAAGTTTATTATATAATGTTTTATCATACCAGGCAGGTTGGGCAACATTCCTCGCTCATTCATTCATTCATTCGTTCGTTCGTTCGTCCACCGTCCAACCATCAATCCATCCATCCATTCATTCATATATTCATTCATTCATTTATTCATTCATTCATTCATTTATTCATCCATCCATCCATCCAACAATTAGTTAATCAATTCATTCATTCAATCATTCATTTTATTCATTCATCCAATCACGGCTGATAAATTATATTTGAATGAATGTTATTGATTGAATGGAATTTTCATTAAATTGCTTTTATACTATTTTTTTAGTAGTTTATTACTGTGTAGGCCTATGTATTTTATTATTCTAAAAATTTATTTTTATCTACATTTTTTTTAAGAATTGTATTTTGATGCTCTAATCTTGTTTTTTCTTATGTTTGCCTTGGATGGAGATCCCTCGATAGTGTTCTACACTTTTGGTAATCGTTGGAGGACTTCTTGTTGTATTTTTCTTTATCCTGAAATGTTGTAATAAATTTTAAAAATAAATAAATAATTCATTATATTTCTTAATTTTAATGCAATAAACATAATTGATATATACAATTTGTTATTTTACCATATATGGATTGATTCACCAAAATACTACATAGTAGAGTATTGTAGTATTTGACCTTCATGGAACCATTCAACAAATATAAATCACCAGTATAATTAATTTATTATAACAATAATAATAATACTTTATTAATTTGTTCAAATTAATAAAGAGAGAGAATGAATGAATGAATGAATGAATTAATGAATGAATGAACGAACGAACGAGAGAGCAGCTTAGCTCAGTCGGCAAATCTGGTGGTAGCCACTGTGTGTGCGCTGAACCGTGGAGATCTCTAGGTCCCCGGTTCAATTCCCATCGCTGTCTCTCCTTGTGTTTCAGCTAGAGGGCTGAAATACAAGTTACATAGCGCACCGTCTTTCGGACGTTTAAGCCGTTGGTCCCGTGTGCATTTATGGCCCATGTGCACGTTAAAGAACACAGTACACTCTTCGGAAAAAGAGTAGGGGATTGTCTCCCGGTGTACTGTCCAATCACCACCAGAAGGACCCCACTGGAAATAAGTCTTCTTCTAGACTTTTGTGGGCTATCCTTGGTGTTTACACACCGAATAAATCCAATCCAATCCAATCTAATCCAAATGCGCATAATATAGACAAAAATATAAATTTAGAATATAAATGTGAAGTTAAAATTATGAGAAGCTAAACTTCTTACAGCATATTGAAAGTCAATTATTGCATCACAATAAAAGTTCAACAATAAAATTCAAATTGTTTAAGAACGAGATTTATCTACGAGATTTACTAGTTTAGGAACACAGCATAGACGTGTGGAATATTAAATGAAGGTGAACCAGGCAAGTAAATCAATGGCTTAAAAAATGTTAAATTGTTTACTATAAACGTTTTCAAAGGCGAAGAGTCAGAATAATGAAAGGTGTGATAAATTATAGCATTACAAGCAAAGCCTGAATATTGGTTAAAACAGAGAGGATAGAGCCACATAAAAAAAAAAATACTAGTTTCTCGTCCGTTCATGCATCTATTTTGTCTGCCTCATCATTTTCCCCCTTTATTTTACGAAATGTACGAAAAAGTCAGTAAAATTTCTCTCTAGATCGTTCGTGGTTGGGATATATATGGTATGAATAATGACTAGTGCTTCTTATATTTGCTTTCAATGTATCTTCTTGGTAAAATAAGAAAGTAGTAGTTGTTTCCCATCGACCATCTTGGATTTTTTAAATATTAGGACGAGAAACTACTTTTTTACTTAATTAATGAGGTCATGGCGCTAGACTTTGAAACTTTAAACAGAGGCCCAGTAAAAAAGTAATTTTCTATTGAACCGATTCCATTATTTTTTTTATTCAACTTCAGGCACAAAGACCAGGTTACTATGAATGTCATTGTTTTTAAGTGGCAATACAAACATAGAAACAAGAAGCTCTAAACTCTAAATGCTCTCATTATGAGGCTTAGAAAGTGGAGTTTTTTGTCTTGGATTATAATCATGTTACAATTTGACACAGGCATGAACTGAGTCTGAACTTTATTGAACATACGTTTTTAGAACGGCGGCACACACCAGAATGATGGTGCGTTAAAACAATAACAAAAGAAATATACATACATCATCAAAATAATTAACAAATAAGATAAATCTAAACTAAAATACAACGAGCAAAACAAAGATATAACAAATTCAATTCAGTACATAAAATGATGCTTTGTACAGTATTTTAATGATAATATTGCACTGGCATTATGAAATGTTGATAACAATACAAGGTCGTTATTAACTTGATTAAGGGTTACTTGATTCTGGGAGTCTTGCTCTCCAGTGACAAATTTAACATTCGGGATTCGTCGTTTCGAACTAGTCCCGAAATTCCACAATATTCATTCATGAAGGTGTGTTTCTAGAACTTATAATAGTAAATAGTCTCTCTTCTTCACATATTGCAAATTTCAATATATATTAAGAGAAATGGACGTATGTTTTAATTTACAATGTCCTGGTATCCTACTAGCGCAATCCTAAATAGATTTATGCAGTTCGCTTTCCATTTCGAGAGACACAGACACACACACACATACACACACACATATATATATATATATATATTATTTATATATATATATATATATATATATGCCCGACATGTATACACCTAGTTTAATGATTTCTGTATATTATTTTTTTTTATGCGGTATGCGGGCTCTGGCATTCCATTAGAACGTGGCAACTGAGAGGGTGACTAAGGCCTGGGGAAAAGGCTGGAAGGAAAAAGACCGAGTGGCAGCGGGTCAGGTTTCAACCGGGAATGGAACCCGTTTTTAATATTTAAAGCATTTTATGATCATTATCTTTAATGTCTGCAATATTGTTATTCTATCTTTAAAGGTTGCCAGCACAAGACCAATTGATGGCGGTATTATTTACAGCGACGTCCATATTGAGGGAGTTTCTAAAACAAAGTAAGTACCGATATAAGACTTGTTTTTTCTGCACAACTATAAAATGAAAAATAAGCCTATCTGAATTTTTTCCAGTTATGATGACATCACCCATGGTCATTATGGGCTTTCACAAAGAAATTCAGTTCTCAGCAAACAGATATATTAAATTTAACCCGTTGCAATTGTGATATTATATAATTATTGCAAATTTGTCTACAGGGTAGTACTATATTTCAATATTCTTTGATTGTAAGAACATAATAGGCTACCTTATTACAAGCCGTTTATCATAGAGTACGGAGTGTCAGTTTAGAAACTGACTATGTGGAGCAAATAGTTTAATAACTAATACTTACATCATGGATTTATTAATATGTCCATTCTTCCATACAAAATTAACATCTATCTTATGTATTTTGTATGTAGTTTCGCAATCGACTTCCTTAACTCATGCAGTTCTAAAGATACACCAGATGTTGCACTTCGTATTTATGTGGATTTCGACAACAAAAAAATCGAGCGCAAAGCAAGAATAGCCGGCAAGTGGACTCCTGCATTTGTCAGTGCCCCAGACTTTTTATTCCGAAGAAATGAAGTTTTTCGAATAGACGTGGCATGTGGACAAACAAAATACGTGGTAATAATATCAACAGTATTATTTTCTCAAAATTGTAAGAACATCAACGTGCATACAGACAATTTCATCATAACATTTATTTTTATAACTAAGTCGTATACTTGCATAATGATTATATCGAGGTTTGTTATTATTTTGCTTCATCGATACAAACCTTTATGTTATAGAAAAAATATACCACCTAAAATTATTTTAAAAAATCCTAGTCTGTGTCATCCCCATTTCATTTTCATTCACCAATCTATCCTGACGAAATTAATTTTCATACGCGTATAATTGTTAATAATTTTACCTTGTTTTTGTTTTGAAACGTGATCATAGATCTCATAAAACGTGTAGTCTATTAAGAAAACAAACCTTTTAAACTTTACTATCCCATACTTATGGCATTGTTAGTGACTACGGTTTATTACATAAATTTCAAATCGAGATTACCCAGTTTATGGTTAGCATTTAGGCTTATGCTATTGCACTTTGTAGATATAGTCATTGATATAATATTAATTTTTTGTTGTTGTTGTTCGTGTTTACTTATAATTTGTTACTGACTCAAAGCTATTAGAATAGCGTGAAGTCAACTATAAACATCAAACCTGAATAGGACTAACTTCAAACCTATATAATTAAAATTGTGTCCCTGTACATAATGCAAGATATTTATTCAAATTTTTACCGCCATAACATCCATTCCCCACCGTAATAACACCATCATCACCATCAGGCCGATGGAGTTGATAATATTAGGGTGGTGGTGGTGGTGGTGGTGGTGGTAGTAGGGATGATGATTATGGTAATGATTATGATGATGGTGAAAATGATAATGATGATAATGACACAGGTATCTAGGATAGTCTTGGCTTTACTAACATGTAATCAAATGCTTTAAAAATAATAATGTAAACACAAATCATAATTGGAAACATACGATGATAATGAAATTCCAAAGAGACACAAAGGACGAAAGTGGCAACCATTTTTTTTAATTTTCTTCAATTTCCAGGGAAAAAAAATTACACAAAAGTACCTTGGCTCTTGAGGGTGACCAAAAGTAAACAATTAAAAAAATTGTTCACTGTCGAATGGCGTTCTAAACTAAAAGTACAAAAAGGAAACCAAAGAGATATCAACAAGCTTTAGAGCTCTTCTTAAACCCTCCAAAATTGTACAAAGCTTTATCACAAATATCACGAGGAATAAGTTCCCAAATTCGTGGAAAGTTCACAAACAAGGAATATTTAAATGCATTAGTTCTACTATACTTGTATTTAAAGGTGAGAGTTTCTGGATATCGGGCATTAATGACAAGATATTCCAAAACATCAAGATCACTTAAATTATGTAAGCATTTTACAACAAAAATAATGCTATGGAATTTCATTCTTTGAACCATATCAGATATGTTAAGGATTTTCAGCCTGTTAGAAAGATCACCTTTAACACATAACCTATTAATACATCTCAATGACTTGTTAATAGCTATTTTATGCTGTTTTTGGTGTGGATCCCACACAGGGGCACCATATTCGATAATGGAACGACAAAGAGCATTACATAGTCTAAGTAAAATTTCAGTATTGTCAAAACCAACAAACCGTTTGATAAACCCTAACATTTTCATTGATTTCATAGCTACGTTACTAATATGGGTTGTCCAGTTTAGGTCACCAGAAAAGTCTATACCAAGATCTATATGATCTAACAACTTCGAGCGGATTAGTGTCATTTAATTGCATAAATAAAATGAGGCATATAATATCAGGTTCTCCTGAAGACGATTGAAGCATCTCAATCGAAACGTTGAGACTTCTTAACATTCAACAGTTCTTTTCAGAATTACCTACGTGGTGTACCGCAAGCTTCAACATATATGTTATTATTTCGAAATGCAAACCTTCAAACAATAATTAAATTTCCTAGTTATGTGCATGACCATACATGTTTTTGCATTTAACTTTATGTGGTTTTTGTCACACCATTTGGAGATAGTATGAAGGTCTTCTTGTAAGTCTAGGCATCATGAGGACTATATACCGGTCTATAAATCACAGTATCATCAGCATACTGCTTCATATGAGAAGTAGTATGAAAAGGCAAGTCGAAAACAAAGACATTAAATAAAAGTGGGCTCACTATTATTATTATTATTATTATTATTATTATTATTAACTATGATAATAATGAAAATGTGATAATATACTACTTCTAACAATGTTTTTTTTTCATTTTTTCGGGGTTGCTTAACGAAGATAACGATTGACGGTCGCAATGAAATCTTTTTCAACCATGTTTTCCAAAACTTGCCTCTAGTTGATGTGGTTTCTATTCGAGGAGAGGACATAAGTGTTCAGCATTTAGAGATGAAAGATGCGACGTTACCCCTAGTAAGTAAACAACCAATTAAAATTATTGATCTTGAATATAATCCAATCGATCGACCCATACTGTAAATTAAACACTTGAAGAGAATCGGTAAGCGGTCTATATAATTAAAAATAATGATATGCATTATAAGAAAATATAATGTACACAGCGGGTGTCTATTATTCAGACAAATACAAGTACATAATAAACGTATAAGCTTACAAGAACAAAATATAGACATGTAAAAAAAATTCGCGTTATAACCGTTGCATAGTAGAAGTAAATACTGTAGTTCGTTCGATCTTTCTATCTTTCATTCTTTAACAAAATTATTTGAATAACCCCAATTAAAAATGTTCATTGAATTTGTAAAGGTTTCACAGACATAATTAAGCCTCATACGTTGATAGGAAAACGAATTACACCAACAAAATTTAAAAACTTGAATATACCGGTTTTCCAAGAAAACCAAAAAGCTTGTTAATATTCTCTTACGAACCTCTTGTTTTTTTTTTATTTTTTTCTGTTTTTCTGTTTTTTTTTTTTAGGGTACGGTTTTCCCCACCCAAAATTTTGACAGGATTGCCGACGCGAAACTGATGAAGGCAGCAATAAAGGACAAGGGTGTGTATTATAATAAAGATGGTTGTTCTATTGTTCAAACAAATACAAACAATTTGGCTTAAAATAGGAAGGTCAAATTATGTTGTAAAGATTACTACTGGTATACATAATGTGTATATTGATATACTGAGTGTGATATAACTTGTTGCATATCATCTGTTGTAGCTTGCGGAAATATTCAAGTATATGCCAATATCAAATTGTCAATCTATAATCTATTTCTGATAACTAATGCTAAGTAAAAACATATATTTTTTTTTTAGAAGTGGACTTAGAGGTTGTTGTTGGTGTTTTGGTAAATAGATCTAACGAGCAAAGACAAGCTATCAAATGGCAGTATAATAAGGAGTATAAAAAGGTATAGGCCCAGTATCTTTTATATGCCTTAAAAAAAGAATATATTTCAAATTATGCAGATATAATTTAAATCACCGTTCATTTGATAACATTTGTAAAAGAAACATAATCTGATATGATATACAATTTTTTGCATGTTGCTTATTTATATATTTATTTAAAAATTTTTATTTTATATCTATTATATTCTCTTTTGTTAAGGGATCATTTTGTTCTCGGGTTTTTTCAACTTGTAATCTGATTTCTAAATCGTAATTTATAGCTATTAATTGTTTACTTTCACATGAATATCGATTTGAATAAATGTTACTGAACTTTTAACTTCTAACTTTTAAAACTGTAACACAAGATTATTAAAGTAAATGCATAAATGCTATTCACCCTTATCTAGTATAGGCCTACGTCATATCAATTCAGTTTTGTCTCAGCACTATTTTTAAGACACCGACGATAAGTCATTTTTCCCCTTTCTGTCATGGTTTCAGTTGTAATAAATAATTCTTAAGTTATGCAACTATTACTGAGTAAAAACCTTTCCAGTGTGTCAATAAACTGACCAATCAAATCAGAACTATGATACGCGCTTGTCCCACAACCGCACATGTTTGCCTTTATGCTGTCCTTTTGTGGGACTTCCGTATCTATATCCAAGGGTGGGGTTTAGTGGCATGGGTCATTCAAAGCAACATTTAATTCTCTTTTACCCTTCCTTCCGGTAAAACTACAAAACTTACTGAAATTATTATCTGTGTGAGCTTTCATATTTATTTTAGCTCCCCTTTTCTCTGCATAGGATCTTGAAACCGAGCTTGACAAACTTCTGAGCGGAGACATGTCTGAGGTCATCGTAGGTCTTCTAGATACCCCGGATGTGTATGATGCAAAATGTTTGTTTAAAGCAATGGAGGTAACATACAACTATCTTAATATTCTCATTGTCTTCAAGTAATGACGGTTAGTTGCTTTCAGGTGATATTAAATTCTGACTAAGGCTATGAGAACTTTTCTACTTGATTTAAAAAATAACCTGTCATCAGGATGACGGTGAATGGTAAAGCCCCGCCCCTTGAATATTGTAGCTAAGGTCCCCAAAAAACGACTGTGTGAAAAAAATACGTGATAATGATGATAATACAATGATGGTGCTAATTCCGATGATGATCATTAATAACAAGATGAAGACTATTAATGAATGGTAATGAGGAGGATGATACAGAAAAAACAATGATGATGACGATGATGATGATGATGATGGTGATGATGATGATGATAATGAAGACGATATTGATAATGGTAAAAAAATGAAAATAGTGATTAAAATACTGCTATACAATTTCTGGTACAATGCAGCAAAAGGATATTTTTAAATAACATAGTCCTGCTTGAGGACATTTTAATAAAAGGGAGAAAATGTTTTAACAGTCACTCACTCTAGAAGACTATTAATGAATGGTAATGAGGAGGATGATACAGAAAAAACAATGATGATGACGATGATGATGATGATGATGATGATGATGATGATGATGATGATGATGATGATGATGGTGATGATGATGATGATAATGAAGACGATATTGATAATGGTAAAAAAATGAAAATAGTGATTAAAATACTGCTATACAATTTCTGGTACAATGCAGCAAAAGGATATTTTTAAATAACATAGTCCTGCTTAAGGACATTTTAATAAAAGGGAGAAAATGTTTTAACAGTCACTCACTCTAGAACTAGCTAGTCATTTTGAAAGGTCTGTATTTAATCATGCATTTTATTAAAACATTCCCCATTAATTCAAATTCGTGTTATCGTGCTCCGTAGTTCAATTAATCGTTACGGCTGCATGTGCTGAAATTGTGATAAACAATAATATAAAGAGAAGTCTAAAATATTCTCACAATAGCTTATTATATTATAAATTATAATTTCTCCAGGGTATCGGAACAGACGAAAAGGCGCTGATTGGCATTCTCTTGTCACGGAACAACAAGGTAAGTGAAAATAAACATCAAACATATGATATAAACATATGGTGGATTTCAGCCTATAGCAACCAAGGCCAGTATAGGAAAATTTCACTGTCCCCTGCAATAACAAGCCTTTGTTTAAAATTCAGCAACAATTAATGCTTGACCAACATATTAATTCAGAATTTAATTTTAACAGCAACTATTAGCAATAGTTAAAACAATTTTTACAAATAATAATAAATTAAGATAGAGCGAAATCTTTCAGTTGTAGAGTACAGTTATAAAGCATTGGACTTTGTTCCAGAGGGAATGAGTTCAAATCCCGCCCGTGTCGTACTTTTTGTGTATATATTATATGAGGCGCCAAATGTACTTTCATTATTTAACAAACTTATATACATAATAATTCCTTATTTAATAAATAATTCAACATTTGTTTATTAAAATACATAGGCCTATAATTAGCTTTGCCTCTAACAATTATATACAAATTGTTAGAGCGATTTTCATTATTTATTTTATTATTATTTCGTGTGCATGATGAAAAATCTAAGATTGCAAATGGATTATTCGAAAAGAGTAGGCCTATTAGGCCTACTCTCTTAAAGGGATTATTTCCCAGTATACTGGGTATGGTTGGTACTACATTGTGGCTTCATGGGTCTTTAGATGGGCGCGCGTATTCCCAATTTCTTTACGTGTTGATTTTCAATAACACCATATGCCGTTTAAATTCACAAATATATAAACGAAATCCAAAAATTAACCACCTGATTTGCACAATGTATCTTTCTACCAGCAGAATAATTATAATCGATTAGCATTTACATAAGTAAACATAATTTGTAATTTAAAAAATCGTATTTGTCTTTCAGCAACTGGAAGCAATAAAATCAGCATACAAAACTCGTAAGTCTGCTTTAGTACCGAGATCTAATATTCAAATTTCCTTCGTTTATGATTTGCCAAAAACAAGACTAAAATGCACAAGGTAAAGGAATAACGATAGCTCATGGATCTGAAAAGTGAATTAATATTCATTTTTCTAAAAGAAAACAATATCAATTGACAGGGGAGAAACATTCAGTGAGCTCCAATGGGAAATAAAACTATGAAATACATTACAGTGTAGGTTTTGTTTTATAAAGGGACAACCGAAATCGCATTGTTAAGACAAGGTGAGGGTCGAGCTTCACACTCACAAGTTAAAATAAATAATCGTCATGTCATAGAAACCATGGGTTGTAA